TCCCAGGCCTGGTCCTTGGAAGCGGCGATCTCACCCCGGAGCGCCTTTTTGGCCTCCTGGTATCCAGTGTAGAGACGCCGTTCTTCGGACTCCTCCCATCCAGGGCGTCTTCTTCGATATCGAGTGTACTGGCGGCGGGCAAGCACGCAAGCGGAACGCAACTGCGAAAGGTTGTCCGACCACCAGTACACTCGATTTGGTCGCCGCGGCGACGGCCGAACTTTGGACATGGCGCAGTCCGAGATGTGCGCCAGGACTTCGCCAAGCCATCGCACTCCGTCGTCGACACCTTTATCCTCCATCCTGTGAGACCACGTTCCCACTATGGCGGCGAGTTCGACTGCCTCTCGGTCTAAGGATCTCAGTGACCACATCTGTCCAATCTCCTGGGGAGTGACGGTGCTCCGACTGGTCGGGGGTGTTGACGAGGGGAGAATATCGAACCGAATGTAGCGGTGGTCCGATAACGTCTCCACCTCAGTCAACACTTCCCAGTCCCGTACGCGACATGCCAGGGCGGGACTCGCAAGGGTGACATCTACGACAGACCCGCCCTGCATGCGCACGCAGGTGTGTACGGAGCCCGTATTAAGTGGCGTCAGGTTGTGTTGCGCCATCCACGATAATAGAACCTCGCCGCGGCTGTCCGTGACGGAGGATCCCCATGCCCTCGACTTCGCATTCAGGTCCCCAGCCACGACAACCGCGAGCGGTCTTCCCCACTGGACGAAAGAACTGACTTCGTCTAGATATTCCTCGAAGTCTGTCAGCGAACGGTTTGGCGAGAAGTATACACCGATTAAAGCGATGCCGAAGAGTTTGACTCCTACGCAACTTCTTCCTCTTCTGGTGGAAACAATTGGGGGGGTGCCGCCTGCGTATATCGCGACTAGTTGGTTAAGATCCCCCACCCAATTGTTTCTGTCCGGGACCAGGTATGGCTCAGATGTCACCGCTAAGTCTATTGACCACTGCGCCAGGCTTTGGATAAACAAATCCTGGGCTCTGGCGCAGTGGTTGAGGTTTGCTTGGAGAAGTCGTAGGGCCATCAATCTTGGGCGACCTCTACTACCTCCATTTCTTCCCCGCTCGGTGGGGGCGCGTTGCTTGCTACGTTAGCTAGCGCTCTTCTTGGAACCGTTCTTTTGGGTGCCGAGCATTTGACACTTCCCAACCGGTGTTTGGCGTCCTTGCCCGCCGCCGTGCACAGGATGCAGTTCGGTTGCGACGGGCAGGACGCGGCCTTGTGCCCCTCCTGACCACATTGGTAGCAGGCCCGACTGCGGTCCTCCGCATCGCAGCGGTTGGCCACATGTCCCTGCTGCAAGCAGCGATAGCAGCGCAGCTCCCTGGGTCTGCCGATGGTGACTTTTGCGGCCACCCAGCCCACCAAGAAACGGCCCGTCTTCAGCTTCTTCGCTGCTGCCACAGGGACCTGGGCCCAGATGTCATATAGCCCTGACCTGTTCTGGCGGAGTCGGCCCGTTTTAACTTGGTCGCCCGTACATGCTCCTTTCCGAATGATTGCTGCTTTT